CCCCCCATGGGGCTGATTTTTTTTTTGTGGGTCAATGGCCCCGACCCAAAAAATGTTCCCCACACCTGCCATAAATACAATATTGAAACCTTTTGTGTTGGACATCATATTTTACTTTATTTAAAAATGAAGCCTGGTCAACAAGCCCCCAGTTGGGGATCAGTCCTCATCTGGCTACATCATTATAACACTCCTGCACCCCCACACACCCAAACCTGTGCCCTGAGTCCATCATACACCCCAATCACCTTCCTCAAGCCCCTCATACATATCAACCCAGACTCCTGCACCCCCACATCTCCAGCCCCCTGCCATAAGATTGACAGAAGACAGCCTGAATGCATTGCATGAAGCTGGATTTGACCAGTTACGATGTAAACTTCAAATAACTGTGCAAAACGATGCAGCAGCAGAAGTCCCGTTAAGTAAAGTCTGAGAGTACAAGGTTTCATTTGTGCTATTGTTAATCATTATGTCAATTATCTAAAATATCAAGTTGTATTTTTTTGCTAATGCAAATGCGGCTCTTTGTTGATCACTTGTTCTGAATTTTGATGAAGTTTGGTTCTTTGGTTTGAAAAGATTGCTGACCCCTGGGATAAGTAAATCATTATACAGCAAATCCATTATAATCACACTTATATTCTTATATTGAATATTAAAATACCACTATTTCCTAGCTTTTGTCACGGGTTAAGTGCGGCTGTTTTCCTTGTGGCCAGTAGGATGTGGATTTTGCTTTGCTATTCACAAAAGATGCCCTATTGCCGTGCAAGATTCAGGGGCTAGTTCTGGTGTGTATACATCACATCTGTTGAAAACTGCCTCACAGCAGCAGTGAATCTGAAGTCCATGGGGACTAACCTCAAAGGAAAAGGTCTTGGTTCACATTGAGGCCTATGCATTCTTTTAAGTTCTTCTGCATAATTAAAATGTCACTTAACTAAACAGAACACAACTGCTAGGTTTTCCCTGTGTTTAGACCTTACTCGTGAATTGCACTAATGGAATGGGGTTTTATTTCTCACATAGCTCCAGCCTCTGCCCAGTGTCTGTTACATGCAGCTAAAGGGGAAGAGCTCTGAAGGGGCTGCTTTTAACTATAACTTGGTTGAAACATTCCCAAAGAGTTGTTGGCCAAGGTCTGGGGGGAGGTCTGAACCTGTTACACTGGTTTTCCTACCTGGAGATTTTCTCTACACCCAGGGATTACTTTGCTTAGGAGAGTGACAGCTTCTGTGCCCTAGTAGAGCAGTGCAGCGGACAAAGGGGCTGACATTCACACCCCCAGGCATCATCTGTTCCCATGTTGGGGGGGGGGGGACTTTTATAAATATATAAACTGAAGCATCTCAAACTCATTCTGGGCATTTGAAAAAAATGGTTTGATGGTGGGAGCAATGCCCTGCGGGGATGTGCTCCACAGTGTCTGGCAACACTACCTAGCATTAGCTGTGTGCCCTCGAAAAGAGTGCAGGACATCTTGGGACCATGCAAAATGTCCCATCAGGACCAGCTTTGTTCAGGAGCTTCTGGCATCCTTTCATACCTTTCTTCCAACAGCCATTCTCTGCTGTGCACTCCAGAACTTGCAGGGAGAAAGAACGGATCCCGCCCTTCTCTCCCATGCTCTGTGAACTGTGGTGAGGACCTCACACATGGCAGCAGAGATCAGCTTGAAGTTACTGACAGCGAAAGAAGACTCGGAGGAGCCTGACAGTGTATATGATGATGTGCACCCTGTCATTGGTTTGGGCACTCGGGCATCTCTACAGGGTGGACTGTTGCTTCTGGACTAGAGAAACAAGCACAGATTGGTGGGATTGCATTGTCATACAGGTGTGGGATAAAGCTCACTCGCTTCAGAGTTTTAGCATGTGTAAAGCAACCTTCCTGCAGCTGTGTGCTTAGCTAGTGTCTGACCCACAGCACAGGGACACCAGAATGAAATCTGCCCTCTTGCTTGAGAAGCACGCTGCCATTGCTGTGTGTGGAAGCTGGCAACTCCTAGTTGCTTCCGTTGAGTTGCAAATGAGTTTGGAGCTGTACTATTGCAAGTCTGCAGAGCAATAAATCACATTCTGCTATGGAGGACCATGACTCTGGGAAGTTTGCATGACTTAGTGGTTACTCAGACATGGGATTTCCCAACTGGGAAGGGGCCATAAATGAAACATACAGACTGATTTTGGCACTAACCCACCTTATCACTGAGTGCATCAACTGGAATTGATACTGCTCAATGCTGCTGCAAGTGTTGGTGGATCACCAGGGGCGTTTCACTGATATCAATGTGGGGTGGTCTGTAACGATGACGCACACATCTCCATTAAACGGCAGCAAGGGAGGTTTAGGAAAAACTTCCTGCCTGCCAGGGTGGTTAAACACTGTAAGGAGTAGCTATGGGGGGTTGCGGAATATTAAGAGCCGTTTGGATAGACATCTGTCAGGGATGGTCTAGACAGTGCTTAGTCCTGCCGTGAGGGCAGGGACTGGACTTGATGACCTCTTGAGGTCCCTTCCAGTTCTAGGATTCTATGATTCAGGAGTGGTGGCCTGTACTGAAAGCTTCAGGAGGGGACTGTCTTTCCAGACCACTAGATTACAGTGGGGGGTGGGAAATACCTGTTGTGATTGTGGAAGACCCAACTTACTCCTTGCAGCCCTGGCTCATGAAACCGTATAAGGGGCCCATGGACAGTCATACAAATTGCCACATGGTAGTCGAATGCATCTTGGGGAGATTGAAGGCACGATGAAGTTGTCACTGTGGCTGGCTAGACCTCACTGAGAACAATATTCCCATGGTTAAAGAGGCTACTTTTGACTTGTATAGTTTGTGGAAAGGGGGGAAGTGTTTGCTTGGGGTGGAGCTCTGAGGCACTGTGCTTGGCAGCAGAATTAGAGCATCAAACATTCGAGCTGGCAGTGGAGCTCAGAGCTGCTGTGCACATCAGGATGCACTTTAAAATGAGGGGCACTGAGGTAAATCCCTGTAACAATTGCTTCCCCCCCTCCCCGCCCCCAATGCAGCACATAGCCAGGAACATGCCTTTAAAGCCTGCACCTGGGGTCACGGTGACTGGCCTGTGAGCTTGTTGAACAGTAAAGTGTAGAATGGTTCTAACACTGGAAAGTACTGTATCTTCCCATGCGCATACGCTCACGCCCAGCAATGGAAGGGCTGGCAAAGGCTTCTAACTCCACCGGTGGGGGCAGGGCCAGGCACCATACTCCCCAGGGGGAGAAGGGTGGAGTGCCTGGGTAATTTGTACTCCCAGAGAAGGACAAGGAATGTGAGGGCATGCGGGGGAGGGTTGCTAGATGAGGCATTTGGATTCTGCCATTGGCAAGGAGGGGGCAGCCTGCATCAGCTCACTGTGCTGCTGCCCCAAAGATCTCCATTTCTTCCTCCATGACAGTAACTATCCTCCTGAGGCCTGTCTGGTCAAGGCCTAGTGCTTCTTGTGGGGCCTGAACTCTCTTTCCAAGCACTCTTCAAAGCAAGATACTTGATGACCCATTTAGTGCCTTGTAAACCAAATTCTCCCTTATTTCTGCAAGGGTGTTGCCTCATCTGCAAGCGCTTGGACCCCCCAAGGACTCTGACACTCAGCACAGGGCACAAAAAGGCATCTGTTCACATGGAGCCCTACATTGTAACATGTCACTTCCTACAAACCCCTTTCCCTCTATTTGCACTCGCTGTCCCAATGGTCTGACAGGAATGCATCCAGCCAAGCACCTAACTCGTGGGGAGTGAGGAAAAGGCATGGTGGCCTCAGTGCATATGGGCAAAGGCGGGCTCCCGGCAGCTGACGCCCCAGGCAGAATGCGTGATTGGCACCCCTGGCGTGACATCATCATTGGGCGCCCTGTTTAACGCGGTGCCCTAGGCGACGGCCGAGTCAGCCTATACACATGGGCCATCCCTGCATATGGGCAACATGAATTGCAGCTGAAACTAGCAAATTCCCTTTTCAGCACAAAAGTTATGCCCCACATCTCCCCAGCCAAGCAGCCCCCTGGCAGCCATCTCCCTGCTCAGGGTAAGCAAGCAAACCGAGAGCACAAGTTCTCCAGACTAGTGGCTGCTCTAGATATAGCCCACCCATGTTCTGTTTTGAATCCTGCACAAGTGACTGATGAGTGGCAGAGGCTAGTGTCCTACAGTGGGTAATGGGACAAAGCTGCTCTGCCAAGGTCTCTTAAGCAGAAAATTTACAAATCTCTCTCCCAAAGTTTCAATAGCTTCTACCTGCAGGATTCCTGCAGCAACATCCTGCTCACCCATAGGATGCGTCTAGACCGGCATGATTTTGCACAAATACTTTTAACGGAAAACTTTTTCCGTTAAAAGAATTTGCGCAAGAGAGTGTCTATACTGGCATGTGCCTTTGCGCAAAACATTTGCTTTTGCACAACAGCATCCATGCCAGTGTAGACGCTCTCTTGCGCAAGAAAGCTCCGATGGCCATTTTAGCCATCGGGCTTTCTTGCGCAAGAAATTACCGTTCCTGTCTACACTGGCCCTCTTGCGCAAGAATACTTACACGAGAGGGCTTATCCCTGAGCGGAAGCATCGAGTAATTGCGCAAGAGCCACTGATTTCATACATTACAAAGTCAGTGTTCTTGTGCAAATACTCACGGCCAGTGTAGCCAGGCAGCAAGATTTTGCGCAAAAGCAATTGCTTTTGCACAAAATCATGCCAGTCTAGACGCAGCCATAACGGTTAGTTCAGGGGTGGGCAATAATTTTTAATGGGGGGGTCACTCCAAGATTTTGGCAAGTGGTCAAGGGCTGCATTTCTATGGAGGAGGTGTGGGGGTCTGAAAGGGAGTTTGGGTGAAAGAGAGTTGTGATATGGGGCAGGAACCTGGGGTGCAGGAGAGGATTCTGGCCTGGGGGAGGGCTGTAGGAGGAGGTGCAGCATCAGTTCAGGGGTGGGCAATAATTTTTAATGGGGGGGTCACTCCAAGATTTTGGCAAGTGGTCAAGGGCTGCATTTCTATGGAGGAGGTGTGGGGGTCTGAAAGGGAGTTTGGGTGAAAGAGAGTTGTGATATGGGGCAGGAACCTGGGGTGCAGGAGAGGATTCTGGCCTGGGGGAGGGCTGTAGGAGGAGGTGCAGCATCTTGGAGAGTGGGGGCCTGGGGCAGGGGAATGGGATGCAGGGTCAAGGAGGGTTATGGGGGATTCTGGCCTAGAGGAGGGGCTCTAGGAGGCGATGCAGGGTATAGAAGGGAGTTGTGATGGGGGAAAGGGGTACAGAAGGTTTGGGTGGTGTCTTGGGGCAGGTATTTGGGGGTGGGGTGCCAGAGCCAGGCTCTGGCTGGGAGGCGCTTACCTAAGCAGCACCCAGCCAGCATCCTTACAGGAACCTGAGACAGGCTGATTGCTGCAGTCCCAGGCTGGCTTGCTGCTCCAAGTAGCTCTGCTGCCCGTGGGTGGGGGGGAAGAGGCTTCACACACTGACCCTGCCCCCAGCAAAATTTCTCACTTCCTATTGGCTGAAAGCTGGTACAGCAGCCTGCTCCACTCCTCCTCCGCTGCCCTCTCCCATCCCACTGCACCCAGCTTCTCCGAGGCAGCAGGAAGGGTAGCTAGTTACCTGACTGCAGAGTAACAAAATGTAAACTGCTGACCAGCGAGGCTGCTTGTGAATTGTGGACCACTTCCTGGAGGCCAGAATCAGTGATGAAAATGCCTCCAGGTATTCACACTGCATGTTTGTCAATAACACAGGGTGGAGAAACTTCTGGAGCTAGAAGTTTTTTGTCAGTGGAAGTGGCTGTTTTTCATGACATAAATCATGCTGCAGTGTGAACCCTCCTGCAGTTTTGTTGATAAAAGGCACTTTTCCTTGACAAAACTTGCCAATGTAGACACGCCCTCAGCCCTCTAGCATTTGTGTAATCCTACATTGTGATGTACTGTTAGTTCTAATGTGTATCAGCACCAGTGGAAACTTGCCAGATGACTTCAGGATCCTGCCCACTCTTGCAGTTACATTTCTAATTGTTACTGGAGGAAGATCACTCTCCGTTCCCCAGTCTCCGTGTCTGTGTGGGGCTGGGGCCTGATACTGCACTGGAAGGCACATGGGGCTTTCTAAATTAATAATTAACCTTTGGAGGGGCTTTACAAGTGTATGTGAATTCTTTAAAAACCTCTGTAATCCCATTCAACAATGGGAAAAGCACCATTTGGGCAGCCTGCTGTACACCCTGGAGCCAGCTGTGCAAACTGCTTCATACCAGGCCATACAAAACTTTACCAAAATGTGCTCATTCCAATGACTAATTCTTAATTGCAGCACGATCAATAGTCTCACTGCTTGCTCCTTTTGCCTGCTCCAGGCTGCAAGCTCAGTCCTCTTCTCCAGTCTTCACCTAGTTAGTCCCTGCCTGCCACCAGAGTCTGGACAAAGGAAAAGAGAAGAGATGCGGGAGGGGAAGTGCATTTAGCAGGGTCTCTCTCACTTATGCACAGTTCTAGTAAACAAAGAGTGTTGGTGTCCCTCTGCCATTCGACATTCTTACCTCCTCTCTTGCCCTTTATTGAATGGGGCTGCCCTCGTCAAACTCCTCTGTCTTGCAAGATGAGGTACATTTACTGGCTGCAAAATGTGACTGCCCCGAACTCTCTCGAGTGCTGCAGTAGTCCACCTCTCACACAAAAGTAAGAAATGAGCCCGGCTTTGCAGGGCCCCTTTTGGTTATGGTCTCTGTGATCCTGAGGAGCACAATCTCAATGAGTATCATTTTGGTCCTGCATGAGCTGTGGCACATGCTCAGTGGTCATGGTATTTGTCACGTAACGTGGATGCTTGGAGGTTTTTGTCACCAAAATCTTTCCAAATCATCTGTGACAATGTTCAATTGTGACTCAACACTGGAAATCCAGACTCCAGTTTTCTTTCTGTCTCTAGCAGTTGGCTCCTTGGCTACGTCTACACTGGCCCCAAATTCCGGAAAGTCATGCAAAGCAGGTAAGTCAGAATAGGGAAATCCGCGGGGGATTTAAATATCCCCCACGGGATTTAAATAAACATGTCCGCCGCTTTTTTTCCGGCTTGGGGAAAAGCCAG